GACTCTCTGAAGAGAGGGGGTCATAACGCTGAAAGGGTCCGGGATAAGGGAGCTGCAGTGCGGAGGTACGCTTCTACGAGTTACGACCGTTCGCATGAAATCGCGTTTTCTTCGATTCTCTGCTGCAAAACTCTTCAATCTCAATTAAACATTCGTTTAACTTACTTGGAAGATCCCGGCGAAAGACTATCCATAAACAAGAAACTCTAAAACAAAAAGGAGGAGGAGAATGGTACTTGTAATTCACGATGAAGCACGACGATCGCGCAGTCAGTAAATCAGTGTCTTGATAACGATTACACTTGCATTGATAAAATAAAAGTAGATCATAAACCAGTAAAAAGTCAACCGTGAGACGGTACACGTCAGACATGAAGAACTTTTGTGTTTCTTTTCCACGTTGATTTCCATTTATGTCCGCACGGTAACGTCATTTTCTACTCCGTCCACAACTAAGGTAAGAGATCTTATGGCTGTTTGAAGAGGAATGTTCATTTTTAATCTTTCATGCATGAAACATGGGATACAAAATACAATTGGGTAGACTGATTCTTATATAAGTGACTAATCGAGCAAATAACACTTGAGTGAAGTTAATAATTGTGTGAACAGTAACACAAGTCAACGATCCGTTAAAGCAGTATCATCTTCCAGTGGTTCTCTTGTCTCATAGATCAGGGCCACTATCGCGTTACCACATTCTTATAGTATTCTTAATGTTGCTATCTAAAAGTTATAATCTAAAATTGTCTTGAGACCAAAAAGTTAGGAGAGTTGTTTTTTTAAAATTAATCTTCTCATACCGATTAGCGAAGTTCTTATTGACATTTGCATTGCGCTGAACGTTCACGTCATCGAGTTATGAAATTTTTTATCGCCTGAGCATTTGTTAAAACAAACAACACTTGTTTTCTCGTTATCGTTGACATTAGTCACACTTGAATAATTCTATTGAATCGCTTTTAGAAATTTCTTTTTCTTTCCTTATAAATGATTGTTGTCTTCTAATTCGTTTATTCATTACATTTTTATCCATCTTTTTACATTTTATCCATTTCTGCCATACATATACGTATTCTCCATCGTAAAATCTTGTTCATGAAAAATGTCAATAGTCAGAAGAAACTACTTAACGATGTTAATGTAATTGGTTTAAAAAGAATTATCCGGAAGAGGAGTAAAGGAGTATAAGTCATGCATACTGCATGTCAGCAGTAGACAAAAGAAAAAGAATCTTTTTGGAAAAACTGAACGCGTTAGCCTCGTCCCTTAGATACCTATTATATTCCTACACGTGTGTGCTTTACATTCATCCAGAAATTTATCGAAGTATAGTGAAGATAAATAAAAATATTATCTCGGCGATGGCTTGATTTGGGGATTACGTAATAAATATAGAAATTTTGGGGTTTGATATCTCGATTTCGATATCGCTAGGCTTCCGTAAAATGTAATTACTTGTACGTTGTATTCTTCTTAACACGTAGCTAAAATTTGAAGAAATTCTTGAGAAATTCATTTTCTCGGAGAAATACCTTAAAGTGCAATTTTAGATCAGGTATTAGATTTCGGACGTGAAAGTTGATAATACGTTATTCTATTTCGTCCCATTGGACTTACAAACTACGCGTTATACTCGGTTTAGAAATATTTTTCTTTTTTTTTGAAAATTATAGTTATTTATGTGGCCAAACGGTATTTGTAACAATTAAGACGTTTTACAACAATAACTTGATTTACGCAAAGACTAGAAACATGGAACAATAATGTAGAATATGTTAACGTATTTGCACTGTTTTATACAAAATTTTACTTATATTCTTTTGTCGGTCTGCCATTATAAAATTATAAAATATTTAACGTAAATTGGATAAAAAGATATAAAAGTAAGAAACGGAAACACTAACAAATTTTCATTGTACTTTATACAAAGATTTTAATTAAATTTCATTAATAAAGGTATGATGTAAAAATGTTGTTGTAAAAGAAAATAAAAGCAAAATTCGTTGTTCACTTAAGAGACATTAAATTCCACTTAAATCAAAGCTCTGAAGAAAAGACTCGAACAAAACAGAAATGTTCCTGTTCCACAGAAGTAAGCATGTCGTTGTTCAAGGCGCGTGCCGCCCCCAGGTCCCCTACGTCGGAGAAGGTTCTGAACGGTGGATCTCATTACCATAATCATCATAATCAACCAAATGGTAACGAGAACGATCAGGAAAGGTCTGAAGGGACTCATAATCAACAACAAAATGGTAACCAAGAGCAAAGGCGATCTTCTAAAGTACATAAGCCTCCTCTAGTCTTCTACTGTCAACTGGCTCATGGAAGTCCAACAGGATTGATATCAGGATTCAATAACGTACGAGAACTTTACCAGAAAATAGCGGATTGCTATGATATACCGATGGAAGAAGTGAGTCTCCTGTTATTTGGTTCTTTATGCTGATTGTATGATAAAAATAATTTATCTGGTACTTTAGATAATAGTAGGTGGGTTGTAAAGGAGACTTGTGTTTTGTTGCTTCTGTGTATTAATTAATAATCCATTTTTATAAGAATTTTCTGCGCGGAATTATTCAAGAATTATTTCTTGCAATTTATGACAGTGATTCCGATGGATAAATAAAAATCTTCAAATATTTATTTGAAAATGTTCTTCGTCATTTGTTGCTACTGTAGTAGAAACATAGCTCCAAAAATTCTTCCTGTGATTTATTTATTCAGTCATGGTGCACAAATAACACGGCTCTTCGTAGGGTGAATATCCCGGATACAGGAAACATCGGTTCCGGGCTGTGGCCTCTGGCCGACCTGGCGGATACCAGGGCTAAGTGTAGCTTTCCGTGTAATAACAGGTTGTAAAAGGCCAGTAGCAGCATTTATTAGCCAAGCTGGCCAAGCTGCATATGTAGTGGGTCATTCAAATCGGGGACAGTATTAAACCGACTTCTATAACACCGTTTAAGAACCCTGGTGAAAGTTAACTTGCAGTTAATCGCATTTAAGACATAATTCGCGAAACTTCTAACAATATGCAAATGATGAAAGGAATTAACCATATAGATATTAATGCAGTTAGATTTAGATTTCCATTAAAAATGACAACTATCTTTATTTTTATTCAAACTAAAATAATTTAACCTCTTTCAATTATTTTTTACTATTACTTTGTTCTTGTTTTACTTTTTGCTACATATAATGTAAAGTACTGGCATATGAAAGGAGAAACGAATGTAGTGGGGAGGAAGTTGCTTTGATGATCTGGAATAATAATAATATACCTTTGATACATCTTCCGCGTCTATCATAAAATATATAAAAATTATTATACATCTTTTATTATTTCAGATCCTCTTTTGTACGCTGAATACTCACAAAATAAAAATGAGCGAGTTGTTGGGAGGCCAGATAGGAGTAGGTGACTTTATATTTGCACACAGAAAAGGTAAAATTATAAATTTTGAATCATCGACTGTTTTATCATTGCCGAGAACAAATATTAAATTGTTTAAATATTACTTTTTGTCTAACCCCGCTTCAACTACTACTAATTTCACTTTTTTTAGGGAGACGTAAAGAGATAGAATTGGTGAAAACGAATGACTCCCTCGGATTAACCATAACCGACAACGGTACAGGGTACGCCTTCATAAAGCGCATCAAAGAAGACTCGGTAATCGATAGGATAAAAGTGATCGAGATTGGAGATCACTTGGAAAAAATCAACTCCACCAGTCTAGTTGGCAAACGTCATTTCGAAGTGGCAAAGGTGCTGAAAGAGATCCCTAAGGGAGACACATTCACGCTAAGGCTCGTGGAACCATTGAAAAATGGTTTTGCCAACATTGGTCCACGAGGTGATACGAAGAAAGGAAAAAAATCCGGTTATGGAACTGGAAAGGAAACGCTCAGGTTTAAAGCTGATGGAAGTGCACAGATTATAGAAAAGGTAATTAATTATCAATGAAAAAAGAATAAATTATAACATAGATACTTACAAAATATTCATTTCTTCTTTGGTTGTTGATTAATAGGTGGATGATGCTGCCACTATAGCCATAGAGAAGATCAATGTGATCCTAGAGAGCTTCATGGGCATCTATGACACGGAATTAGGTATATAGAACCATTCAATAACGTATTACAAATTTACAAGTGTATTACAAAGCGTGATACACTTATAAATTTTTTATTATTACAATATGTTTTAGAAATATCGTTTTTCTAAGTAATGTTTGTTGGATTTTCTTCTGTAAATAGCTACACAAATTTGGGAGCTTGCAGAGGACAAGCGCAACAGTAGTGAATTTGCAGAAGCAATCGATAATTCAGACTTAGAGGCTTTCGGATTTACGGATGACTTCGTCATTGAGTTATGGGGCGCTGTGACTGATGCCAGAGCTGGAAGACATCGATGATGTCGACGATTATGCCAATTAATAGAACCAAACAAAGAAAGAGCCAAGAGGAACCCCTTTCTATTATTAGTAGCTTAAAATTTGTGCCGTAAAAATGTGGCATGCAGATAACAATTGAATTGTAAATTAATTGTAGTAGTTAACGCTTAAAATTTGTACAATTTATATTATAAATTTATACATATTTAAAATTATACAAAATAAAATAATAAATAAACTTGAAAAAATTATATATATCTTTTATTATAAAAATAAAATAATAGGATAAATAAAGAAATCCAACGATTTGAACAAACACCGAATCATTTGGCAGTTCATTTGTATCATTTGCCAATTATAATGCTAAATAATACAGAGATAAGACAAATAAAACAGGAAGGAATAAGTAGTAGATAAGTAAAAGATAAAGCTTAAGAAATTATTACAAAATCATTTTAAATGATATGTGATATATGATAATTCCTTCCTTCAGAAATACAGAATGCTTTATCTCGTCCAAATTGTGATCTTTGCATATTCTTGTTATTTGAATCCGAGCCAATAAAAATCAACCAATGACAATCAGAGAAACATGTTATCATGTTATCTATGAAGTTAGTGTCAAATACTAGTGTACTGATTTAACGTTCTGCAAGATTTAACTTACGTTGGGAGTAAATTTTTATTTGGAAAATGATTTTTGCTATAAGTAGAGTCGGCTGTATATTTTTTCGTGCTAACACGAGATCTAAAAATAATTACAAAAATGTGAAATTGTCAAGAGTATGTAATATTAATATAAAAATATACCGACTAACCTATACAACCTGTTCATTTTTTATTAGATGATTTATATTTTTAATTGTAATATTAATTGTATTTATTGTGAAATAAATTTTGTTATAAATTTTGTGATATATTTTAATGCTAAGTAACTCTTTTAATTTCTATATATACAAAACTGCATCATTTATTCATAAAAAAGTTCATATATTTGTTATATTTATTATACTCTTCTTTTTTAAGTTAAGTAAAAATGGAATAACATTTCTCTTTGCCAGATATGCACAGTAAATTTTTCCACAAAAGCTAACATCACTCAGCTGGAGGAAGAGGTACCAAAGTTAAGATCACCGGTAGGAGATGGAAAGGTATTCAAAAGTGTGGACGAAGCTATATCGGACATGCCAGATGGGGCTAAGCTTCTGGTTGGTGGATTTGGACTTTGTGGAATTCCTGAAAACTTAATTGCAGCAGTGTTGAAACGAGGTACCAAAGATTTAACTGTTGTTTCAAATAATGCAGGAGTCGAAGACTTTGGATTAGGTATACTTTTAAAAGAATGTAGGATTAAGAGAATGATTGCTTCCTATGTTGGTGAAAACCATGAATTTGAGAAACAGTACCTCAGTGGTAAATTGGAAGTTGAATTAACTCCACAGGTAAATATTAGTAATAAAAAAATTTTCAATTAAATTACAACAAAAAAATTACGCAATAATACTTCCAATATATAGGGTACACTGGCAGAACGTATTCGAGCAGGAGGAGCTGGTATTCCAGCCTTCTACACTCCCACAGCATGTGGAACGATAATTGAAGAAGGTAACGTCATTGTGAAATATGATGAAAATGGGAATGCAGAAATATCTGGAGAGCCAAGGGATGTAGCACAGTTCAATGGAAAAAACTATGTCTTGGAAACTGCTATCACAGGAGATTTTGCTCTTATAAAGGCTTGGAAAGCAGACAAAGCTGGAAATTTAGTTTTTCGAAAAACAGCCAGGAATTTCAACCCAGTGATGTGTAAAGCAGCTAAAATTGCTATTGCGGAAGTAGAAGAAATTGTAGAAACTGGTCAATTGGACCCCGATCACGTTCATTTACCTGGAATTTTTGTGGACAGGATCGTCAAAGGCCCATCATACGAGAAACGCGTGGAAGTGCGTACATATTCTTGTCAATATAAATATTTCAATAATTTGAAAAATTACTAAAACTTTTTGTCTCTATTAGAAACGATATACGAAGCAAAATATGAAACCCAAAAAAGTAACACCAGCAAGTAAAGCAAGAGATAGAATTATCAGACGAGCTGCGCTCGAATTCAAAGACGGCATGTATGGTGAGGGATTTAAAAAATTACAAATATTTTCAATTAAAACACTTAAATAAGTTTAAAAAGTTTCTTTCTGAAAAACCTTTACTAAATACACTTCTTATAGCTAATCTGGGAATTGGAATACCCATGCTGGCTTGCAATTACATTCCCAAAAATATAAAAGTAACATTGCAATCTGAGAATGGTATTCTTGGCATGGGTCCATTCCCAGACGAATCAGAACTTGATCCAGACTTAATAAACGCTGGGAAAGAAACAGTTACAGTCGTTCCAGGAGCCTCTTTCTTCAGCAGCGACGAAAGTTTCGCAATGATTCGAGGGTACTTATAGAAAAGATTGAATATTAAATAGTTTTTTGGTAAAAGATAGTACATTTGAATTTTTTCAGGGGTCACGTCAATTTGACGATGCTCGGTGGAATGCAGGTATCAGAGAATGGAGATCTGGCTAACTGGATGATTCCAGGAACTATGGTGAAAGGAATGGGAGGTGCAATGGATTTGGTTTCTGCAGAAAGCACAAAAGTGGTGGTTACTATGGAACATAAAGCTAGAGATGGAAGTCCAAAGATTGTGAAAAATTGCACCTTGCCTGTCACAGGTAATTTTTACATTTTAATTCTTTGTAAGATAGAAATAGTTACTCATCTTTTAATTCCAGGTCAACAATGTGTAGACTTAATAATCACGGATATGGCTGTATTTGAAGTAGTCCATGGAGAAGGATTGAAATTGATTGAAATTGCACCAAACATTGATGTCAGTGATATTATTAGCTCCACAGGTTGTGAATTTTCGGTGGCTGACGATCTTAAAGAAATGGGACAAGTGGATTTGGAAGATTGTCAGTAAATACAAGTTCCTACACATTTTTAATTATAAAAAATGAATATGAAAAAAGTTTGCTTCGTCTAAATTCCAACAAAACGAAAATAATACTTAAAATTCTTATTTTCTAATTGTAAAATTACAAAGTCATACCTTTATCTCTAAGAACTGTAAAGTTTAGTTATAAATGTAATATAAGTGCGCTGTTTCATGCAATATAGTATTTAGTTTTCAACGCGGGTAATGTAATTTTGTAATATATATTCTAAGGCTAAGGAAATAATAAATTCCAAAAAGAGAACAAGCTCTGCTTTTATATTTCTATCGGTCAAAGACCTACAATTAAAGAAATTACTCTCTAAATTTGGCTTTTACTTTCGCTGGAAGTGGTAATAAATACAGAACACTGTTTAATATACTCAGTCCAACAGCAAAAGCCAGAGAAATTAATAAGTTTAAGTCAACATTCAATACTTCTGAAATATTTTCGCCTTCACGGGTGAAGCGTTCTATTAAATACGATCTCCCATCTGGATATCTGCACAGCTCTGGTATCCCAGGACACGTGAAGCTTTCATTATAATGCAAATTTAAAAATGTAGGCACATCAATGGCTAATTGATTTAGAGCCAATGATGCGTACCTAGCAGGTAATGCAGTGGAGACTGCAGCAAGCCAATAAGGCAAGCCTTTCAGACTTCTGATGGCTCCAGATGCAATTACCAGAGACACCAGTGTCATGTATAACACCATTATTGCACCTGTAATGGGTCTACCAACCACCATGAACACTGCAACAGTTATTTGTTCTGCTGCCACATAACTGGCCCATAAAACACCACAGGCATAAGCCCAGGTAGACAAATCTAACTCTAAAATAGGTGTCAGGATACCAATGGTGATCATGGTAGACACAAAACTTAATGGCAAGCTTAGTAATGCATATGCGGTCAAGAACATAGCTCCACCATATAGACCTTCTCTTTTTTCTTGATAGTATCTAGCCCTATATCCTGGAACTTATTAATTAATAGACGTTACATAATAATAGTATATCTATTAGGTTGCCTGAGAAGAGATTGGTCTACATGCACTTACAGAGGAGAGCTGTGCATGCTATTCCAGCAACATAGAACAGAGTTACTACATTGAAGACAAGACCACTTGTTTGTAGAAATATTCTGGATTGCACAGGAGTCGAATGCGAATACAAAATACTCATTAAAGCTATTGAGAATGGTAACAATAATAGTCTAGCAGCAAAGTGTCCTAAGCCAGATTTATTGAAGGCAAATGTCGTTGCCAGACTTCTTCTAAAACGTAAAAGCTATAGTAGTACTATTATTTTAGGAGATAGCGTGCATTTGTAAAAATACATACAAATAAAGGGCAAACAAAGTGGAGAAACATCCTGGTTTAATTCCACGCCCTAAACCTTTATGCATTATTCCTAAAGATGTATCTTTAATATTGGGTGGCACTTGGGGCGCCTCTTTCATGTAAATAACACCCTCGGCTTTGAACTTTTCAACCAGAACGGATATCTGCTGGTTAGATTCTAAGAAACGATCTCTTGAGCGACGATCGACAGTTGATAAACACACTAAAGTCACCATTATCACTACTTAATTAAACAATTATTTAATTATTTTATTCCTATAGATACATACTTACAGTAATACATCAAAGGATTTTCGAGTTCAGGACATGGGAAACCGATATAAGTGAAATAGTCCAACATACTTCTAGTTGGCCCCGAATAGACAACTGCTCCCAAACATAAGAGAGTCACGCGACTCACGAAAGGTAGCACATCCGATCTAGGAGTTTCCATCGTTAGAACAACGATAGATCCTCTTCTGGTTGCGTAAGACCAGAGCATAGACACAATTAAATACGTGTTTAAGGGATCAGTATCCCATGTGGGCTCGTCCAGAAGTAACAACGTAGGATCTTTGGCCAATTGTACGCCCAACATTAATCTTCTGTATTCTGGCTTCGTCAGATCATTTACCGATCTATTTGCAACTTGAGACAAAGCCAGATCGGCTAAAGTTTGTCGAACTCTGGCTTCCCTGTTGTTTAAATTGGCAAGCCATGTGGCATAGGTCAGTGTCTGTCGAACTGTTAGACTAGGTAATAGATGACACCTGTGTGCAACATATCCACCATGTCGTCTAAACAATTCTGGAGTTAATAAATTGTTATTTAGGCTGACTCTACCCCTAGTTTCTCCCTCCGCCCTTCCAGCTAAAAGACAAGAAATTTCCGGATGGTTTCTAAGACCTAATTAATTACATTTGCACTTAAGTCGTTATCTTACCGATAACATCGAGCAAAGCTCTCTTTCCAGATCCCTTGGAGCCCAAAATCGCTAACACCTCGCCACCGTGAACTCGGGCGGACACATCTCTCAATACAGCAGTAGGTTCCGACTTACTCAAACAACTTCCTTCAATAACCACAGCAGTGGAATGAAACACATTGGTGATATCAAGAGTACAATCCGATGGGATCATCCTGGATCTTTCTGAATTATTTCATAACGACCTTTTGGAGAAGACAAACTTTGTTTCTACTCGACTCGATGGTATACTACAAATCTCGAAGATGAAGTTTTGTTAGAACGGTGAAACAATAGTTCTTCCAGTAAAATAGTATTTGGTCACGGAGATTGCACTCCAGGAAAGCACGTAGAATGGACAAAACGATGTATAAACTGGCACTGCGGCTAGAGAAGTGAACATCGCATGTAAAACGTAACCATCGGTAGGGATACCTGGCTGGGAGTTGGCTTCACGAGGTGAATGTCTCCTCTGAGACGAGTTTGGTGGGAGGAAGGTAGCATCAGTGGTAGCTCAAGGGTGTACTTGCTAATTTCAATCCCCAGTTCCCTTCCCAGTCTCCAGAATTACACACAAAAGAAAAATCTTCTCTCAAATAACTTTATCTGTAACTACGGATCTTTAACAAGCATTCACAACTTTATATATGGAATTTTATCCTAATCGAAAGTAGATTTAAACATCTTTTCAATTATAGTAAATCATCCCTAAATGCTTTGTAGATACTGATAATAATGGAACGTAATTGCAAATAAAAAAAGAGGCAGAAATAATATTCAGTCAGTTTCATACTGATGTACTTAGAAGTCAGGGGTCAGATTTTTGGTAGGTACGCCATTGCGAACTTGAAAGACCAACAAGGAAGGAAGGGAATACAGAGAGGGGGTTTCGTTGGAGGTTCGGAAGGCAAGTCTGTCAGAAGGCAGCGTTTAGAAAAGGCTTCTCGGCGTTGGACATACCGATGCCATTGCGGTATCGCGATCACGGATCGGGTGATGCGTTCGCGGGCTCCGTCGTGCGATTCCTGAGCTGACGAACATAGTGTTTGTCTTTAAAATTCCCGTTCAAAGTTATCAGGAGGAACCAGACGAAAAAGAGGAGACCAGGAGCAATCGGCGGAATGGAGAAGCAGCATCACCTTGACTCAACCAGGCTCGCTTGAAAGCTCATCCTGAATACCGGTGGTGAGTCATTGTCATGAAGAATCTCCGGGAACGTATCAGGTTTCGTGGCACGCGCAATTCCTGACGTTCACGTGCCTCCTTCTCGCACATGAACACTATTTTTGCAGAAAAAATCATGAAACAATTACCTATTGTTTGTTTGTTGTCCCTCCGCGTAAAAATAATAATAGAGAGAACCATGAATCATGGGTAGTTGCAACATTTTTTACTCAAGTAGCCCAAGATGCTATTACGACAGAGGAGAAGTCATATATGATCGAATTCTTGTTAGACACGGAAAAAAGGGAAAATATAAACGGTTGGCACAATCCCGTGACCAGTCATGGTTCAACGACTGGGAACCTGATTTTGCATAATGAGAAAGGTTTACCTGGTACCGGTGAAAGCCGCAGATTAGGAACTATTTTTCTTAAAGAAAATTATTTTTTATCTATCCGTGAATTTTTTTTTAAATCAGTCGCTTACGAAACACTGGGAGGCTCTGCCTAGCGAAGAAAAGGAACTCAAGGAGCGTGGTTAATATTCCGTGGCCATACTTTCTTTCTAATGATTTTCATTTCACTGTCGATGCTTTCACTAGCTTGATAATGCTGTCATAATGGTTTGAAGAATGACATGATAAGTTATCTTAAATATTAACTGTTAATTACCCTATTTACGTCCTTGTGAATGCATTTTTTAATTGTCATAATTTTTAATGGCTGAAAACAAAGTTGAGAGTATGGATAGAATGAAGTTTGAGCTGAATCAGCCACGGTTTTTCGCGATGGCTTTATGGGGATGGAAGATACTTTGAACTGCTTGGTGACGACGCTACTATCGGGAGATTTCAATGAGCGCACAAGACATGTACTTCTGCACTTTTCCACGTGCCATGGACGGCACTCTGGCTGATTTGCAATGTTAATTAAGCCTCTCTCACGGCAGACAGGCGTACCCCCATAGAATATTGAAAAACGCGGCAGCACTGACCTCGGTGTACGCCTCCATAAAGCGTTTCTTACTCCATCGCGTGGCTCAATGGCGGAACGAATACAAATAATCGAATTCTTCGGAAGTGAACATAAGATATTAAAAAAGACTGGTGTAGAATTTTTATTAGTCTTTTTGTTCACGAAAGTATATAATGAAAATAAAAAATGGCAAATGAATTGCTAGACCACCTCATTTTGACACCTTCTTTCATTCAGGGAATCAAATAAAATGCTAAAATAATTCTTAAATAAAATTGCTAAAGGAATTCTTCTTGAATCAATAAGAAAATTTTTGAACCGCATTCTTTAAATATTCCCATATGAAATATTTTATGCGATAAAAAAGCGTACTTAGCCACCAGAATCTAATTTCAGTTCCAAAGCATGCTGGTACTTTTATCGTTTCTGATGACATTAGTGTCAAGGTTCGTTCCCTGATCGATGCACTAATTCATCTGATAATTCGGTGGACTTTCTACAGTTTGTTGCACGTGGTATCCAGGCCACACTTTATTAAGACACACTCTCTGTCACGTGTATACGAGATCGAGAGGCACGATCGTAGAAATCAGTGCGTGGGACAATCTCACAGCCAGCGGAAGAGATTTCGAAACCAGAGTATCGTTTCCCTAAACTATCCAAGTCGACCAGGCTACTGGAAAACGTTCATAGACTGCAAAAAGGAGTGTGCATATCAGTTACGTGTGTCATTGGATAATGTAACGATCTAATAACATCTTCATTGGAAAATAGATTGAAATATAAGAAATTGTTCTTATGAGAAATTAGACATTAAAGAAGAATACCATTATAATGGAAAACAAATTAAATTATAGTAATTGGGAAAGAAGAAATCACACTTATTAGATATCAAGTAACGAGGAAGTAATTAATCCTTCGTCATAAAGTGTTCCCTCTCTCGAGTTTCACCGTAGTAAGAACCGCTTGTTAGCCTAGTCTCCCATAATCCTCTAAATCTATGGGAACACAAACAAGGTGACAAGGACTGAAACTGGCAATACACTCATTTAAAAAAAAGAAAAGGAAATAATGGAGAAGGAGCAACAGAGAAGAATGTTATCAGCTCATCAAGTTACATACACGCTCATGATAGATAATCCATTTAACGTGGTCGCTCTGCTGGCACACAACTATCGCTTTTCATCACGAAAGCCTAATGCCCAGTGGATTGAAAAGTGAATTTGCATGTAGTTCAGTGGTTGACGGTGAAAATCACCGAGCCGTCGAACATGTATTAATTAAGTATCACCTTCCACACGGGACTAGGATTATACTCTACTGAACCTGAGATATGTCGACGCTTTTCACTAAGTGTAACCAGAAACTTTTGTATCTAGAGGAAACAGGAATAAAAAAGAAAATATATGGCGGCCAGTTTGATACAACTGTTGCAGAAACGGGATATGCAAATGAACAGTTAACTCGAATACAAGATAGTTATCTGGCTCTAAAAAAAAGCTTGTACGCGACGTTACGTAAATCGTAGGGTAACATTACGGTCGATGATCGCAACTTACTGGTTCATTATACATTAGCCAAGGAGAAATCTATACGAATATTAATTCGTCGGGGAATTTCTAGTTGTGTCCTGGGAATGATTAAACAAGTGACAGGTGGCAAATGGCTTTCCATACGGGTACACGTATCTGTTTTTAAACGATGGAACTGGAATATTCAAAGAATTATCATCGCATAATCCTATTTTATAAAAATTTAATCGGTGGTGTCATGCAAAATAAACCGAAGAATTTAGAAATTCAATTTGATTTATGGAAATCCTAGTTTGATTCCTTCGGAGGGTTCTATAGGTAGATGATGAAGCAGAGCAGCTGGACGGCTATGGAGAGCGATGATTAGCAGTGGAAATAACGTAGAATCTTGGCTACCTTCGGCCATACCGTTACTCGATGACGAGTAAAAATCTCAGCTGATGTCGAAGACGTGGGGAGAACAGTTTCGTGGGTAAAGAAGATCCATTACCCAATAATAATCATCTGCTTGCTAGCCTTTAATTTGAACGATCATCAACAATTTTCATGTAATGTTAAAATCTATTAAGAAACTGTTCATCTGTAAATACCTGCAAAGAAAGAAAGAGAACAAACTGATCAGACTGGCTAGGTCATAGAAAAATAACAGAGAAACGTCTTTTGTTTGAGGAAGCTGCACAAAAGATGCTCGGTTTCGTTCAAACACACGGCAAGTGAGTCAACATCTAACGGGAAACCAATTGGCAGTCGAAAAAAATGTCATCATGGCATCTGACGTGGACCAATGCCGTTTGCATGAACCACCCGATATAAAAGAACGTTATCTCAGACTGCTATTTTATTGCACCTATTAATCCTTATTACTCGATCTTCCAAACGATTTGTTAGGCTCTGTTGATTCATTAGAGTATTTAGAATAATGTCATCATTAAACTGCGGATTTTATGCAAATTTATATCTTCATAGATAGGATCAAAAACGTAGGGGCTATACAGACATGTGATTTACCTAGTAAACTTTGGATATTTTGTTTCCGCATTGCGCCATGTGCATTCTATGCATTTTTGTATCTTTAAATTTCTTATAATTGCATACAAATCCGCAATCTAATTATTATTCTGAGTTATAATTCACAGTGTCTAAATTCTTTATAAACGAGTAATTTGAAAAATTTGTGAAAATGGATTATTATAAGAAATAAGAATATATGATATAAAGTAGTAAGTGTAGGCTCTAGCTACCACTTTAATAAGTTTGATCAAATAATGGAATAAACTATTATTTCACTAATCTCAATTCAATATTTATGACATAGGGAATATCATCTTATCAATTTTTAACGAGAATCAATGATATACGATGCTATTTGAAAAATATTTCAATTCGAAATTCCGACACGGGATACAATTTTACCAAAAATTTCAATAACAATTCTGTGTTAACGAGTAACCAATGAAATTTATAATAAATAAAAAAATGCTTAATATGAAATTTTTATCCCTGATATAATTGTTTAACTTCGAGGATACTACATATGTTTTCACATTCATCACGAGGTACACCGTTAAGAGGAATGTCGGGGGAGCTTCTCTTCGCCACGTGTGCCGACGCAATGAGCATAATTACGCGAATATACAAGAGTAAATGGCACTCTGGCGTATACTCACTGGAAATGTGAAGCGATGTATCTTCGTGAAATCGGCACTAGTCGTTCCATAAATATTCTACGAGCTCGCTTTACGATACCCGGCGACGTTCTGAGGTCAGGACGGCACGTGTTCCACTATGCCTGAAAGAAAATTTAATGAGAGAGGGAATTAAACTATGCATTATTGAATTTGATACTCATAACGTTAATCATCTCGATTAAAAAGGGAGCGATCGAATAAATTGAAAACGTTTTATTAATTTGGTAACGGTTTGATGGTAAGAACTTGTAGCGATGTCTAAAATGGCAAAAAGTAAGACGATTAACGGTCAGATGCGCGCAACTGCTCCAGGAGTCACTCCACCATGTAATGATTTTGCGTGATCTAGCATCTAATAAATATTATAGCATTTGGATAATGCGACCGAGTAACATCTTTATGAATTATCATTGGTTTCATAAATAACTCTTGTCTGCGTGGAATTCTACTTGTTATAAAAAAATTAAACAGAACTTGAATGAAAACTTTCGAGTAATCAAGCATAATAAATGAAGTACCTTGAAACTTATCCACAAGCTAATAGGAACTTATAATAGTTATTGTTATTAAATATGTTTCAATATTGATAAGATAACTAAAATGAGAAATTCAGTTTTGATAAAAAAATATTCAAATAAAGAGGAAATAATATTGATGAATAACCAGCTATAATAAACATGAATGTGATCGATGGTGTTCTTGTCATGCGTTTTGGTACGGATTCCAGTTCCTTTCCTTTCAGTGTAGTACCGAAGGCCAAGAGGTGAACAATTTCGAGCCTTCAGTGGCGAGCAATTTCAAAGGCGCGCCGATTATTCGCACGGTGTGCACGCATGCTTATGGAATGCCATAGTGCTCTCAACTCCGTTCAAATGCATTTATCACCATTCATGTGGAACAATTTATATGTTATATTTCCTGCATTAAATTCCCTGCTATTTGCTAAAATACTCCAGTTCGTATTTTCATTCAAATATTGTTTTAGTGATTTACCTATGTCTTTCTAAATAAGATAGGGAAGATAAATAAATAAAAAGTAAAACAATGCGAAGTTCTTAATTACAATAGTTCAAACTACCTCGAATTTACTGTAATTACGAAAAATGTCAAGTTCTTTTGACTAGACCAGAGAACAATTAACATTGACCGAGCAAGGTACAAAAAACTAACCAAAATCGTTCACGCATTTCCGAGAAGTTCTATCGAAGCTGCGAACTTGATGCAATCCATCATGCGTTTCATCTAGTCTCGCTTGAACTGTTCAGATACCACAAAGCATGGGTTCGGAAGCGTGGGAGCTGGAACGGAGGTACTCAGTGCCTGGGGCATTGGATACCAGAGGCCTGGAGCCTCCAGCTAGCGAGGATCTTCACGCCTGGTCTATCTACAGGTGATTATTTCTCCAACTTCGCTTTCAATCTTCAATCTTAAAAAAAGAAAAGAAAAAAAGTGTCATAATCAGTATATAATTCTTCTAGGCAAAACTTGAACTCCGATTTCACCGATTCGGCACTTGGATCAGCTGAAAAGTCTCCTCTTCCCTATGGGAACTTCCAATTAAGAGATTCCACAGTGCAGAGTATTCTCAGACACCCTAGATACGGTCCAAAGAGTCCTCTGGCCAGCAATTCGTACACATATCTAAAGTTTGGTCTGCCAAGGGTTCTGCCTCCTAGTTCCAGGAACAGAGATGGATCTAGCGGTTACGATTCCAGCGAAGAAGGTCGTAGGGTGTCTCACGCGGGAACTTCCGCACACGGGACCTCCGCTATGAGATCTGCCAGGAGCGACCCCGATTTCAGACACGTTCACATTGTTCCTAGGGAACATGCACACTCTCAATTGACGGTTTCAAGGGAGAATCCTAGGTTAAGGAGTGTCAGTGAAGCGAATCTTCTTCATGGAGGTGTTCGAATGAATAGGAGGCACAGTATTGCGCCTATAGATCCAGGGTATGGTGTCCACGAGTCCAGAGGTGAGCAGTGCTTTTTCTCATCTACCATATCTTATCTTCAGCTTCCGTTATAACTAAACAGAAAAATTAATTTTCAGGACATGGAATCTTGGGTCCAGAGAGTTATACATTACCTCTGAGGCCTGTACCATGTCTTCAACATCCTCATCTTCAGTTACGAGGAGTAGAGGCTTCAGGATCCGATGGTTTGCCTCTTTTACGAGGAATCACTTTGGAGGTAGGAGCTACTGAGGTGTTGGCCATTATGGCTACTACGGAGAAAGAAGGAAAACAAATCGTGGAAACTGTCGCCGGAAGGAAGAGAATTAAGAGAGGAGATATTTTGCTCAATGGAAGATCCGTGTCCTATAGAACCTTAAGGTATAATTCATATTTGTTCGAAAATTATTTTAAGCCGAAAATTGTACATTAGTAAAATTACAAATTCCAGGTCTCGAGTTGCTTATTTGTCCACGGAAAATAGTCTAAGCCCAGGTCTAACTGCTCAGCAGACGCTAAGCTTTTATATGCTTCTTAGAGGAGGTCCAAATACTTCCAAACTGGAAGCCGAAGCCATCCTCCAGGAACTCGGTTTAGAGGCGACCAAACATTGTCTCGTGAACTCGTTGACGACCTCCGAAGCAAAAAGACTGGCCCTCGCGTGTCGTTTGTTACAAGACTCGCATATTCTTGCGTTGGACAGGCCAACGCATGGTTTGGATATTTTCGACGCCTTCTTCATGGTAGAATACTTGAGACAGTGGGCTGGAAGAGGACAAAGATTAGTAGTATTGACGTTGCACCCGCCTACTTATGAGATACTGACAATGGTCTCGAGGGTTGCGCTTACTTCCGGCGGAAGAATCATGTACTCCGGTCCCAGGAGGGATATGTTGCCATATTTCGCCCTTGCAGAGTTCCCGTGTCCTCCATTTAAGAATCCTTCTGACTACTATCGTACGTGATTTTTATACTAACATTCGATGATCTATGTATACAAAATTATTTTGAAATTTATAGCAATTCCCTATTCCAGTTGATTTAGTTACACTGGATGATCTGTCTGCGGAAGCCATGTTGGAATCCTCTCAAAGGATAGACCACCTGGCCGAGCTTGCAAGGACTAGACTGCCAGGATTAAGTGATCCTGGACCACCTGGAGCACTTCCTCCTTCCATTTCCAGTCCCAATGTATTTTCACAGATTTATGCGTTGCTTCTGAGGACTCTAATCTACAGTCAACCATGGACACTGACTAGATTACTCAGGAAAATCGTCATCTCTGCCTCTTTGAGTATTTTACTTGGTGCAATATTCTGGGATGTATCTGGCGACTCAAATTTATATCTCAGAGACCGAGTTGGGTTTCACTATGCCAGCTTGGGAATTTTCTTCTGGCCATTAACCTTAATAGCCATCTGCGAAGTAGCTGACTGCAGGTCGAACGTGGAAAGAGATATCAAGGATGGTTTATATGGAAGATTTGTGTATATTTTAATGGAGGTAAATGTTCAAAAACAGTAGTATACGATCGTTCATTTTATTAAATGGATTTCTTTCAGCTCCTCTGTGGAGTAGTGTCCTGGTGCGTAGTCTACCTGATCTACTTAGCACCAGGCTACGCCATGTCCGGACTTCACCTGGTCCCGGATGACAATCTGACTTCCTTATGGAATTATCTCGGAATCGGTTTACTGTATTTAATACTGCAACATTTAATCTGTATATTATTTGCTCACACTTGCAAGTGGACGTACTTGGCTTCCTTGTTTGCTGGAATTGTGATTGGAGAGATGACATTAGCTGGAGGAGTGACCTTGCATTTGGAGAACTTGCCAGGCTGGTATCAAAAGATCAGTCCAATGCAGTGGTCTCTGTCCCTATTGTTACCTCCGCTTCATCAAACAGAAGTTATGAATAAATTGACCAATTGTAAGCCAAAACAAATTCAGAGGCAGGATATCATAGTTCAAGCTGCCTGTGAACCGCCCGATGGTGCTCTGGCATTATACGAGATTGCACTGCATAAATTCAATGTAAGAGGAGAACTGTGGCTGGGAATAGGAATAACTATCGTCAGTGTTTTAGTTATACTAGTATTCCTGTGCATTCGATATACTACTCCCAAGAGACTTAGGAGTGCACCAAACAAGCCATAAAGTGCAACTACTCAATGACTGAATAAATATCATCATTCTTACATAAATGTATTTTATTAATATTAACAAATAGCAGAGTATTCTTTTAACGTTGCGCTGCTATCAGTACAATAATAGGTATCAGTAAGGAATATAATTATTCACTTCATCATCAAATACATATATTTTATACTATGTCATGCTCACAGGCTTTGATCGTTGTCTATATTATTGCGACTTTTTAAAACAATAGGCTTTAGAAACTCGCAAAATAGACTTGAGCCAGGAAATTCGAAAGCCTAATAAACCGATACATCTTGCAGTCTCTCCTCCAAATGCTTTAAAATAATCTGTATGTACTTCGTAACGCTATAATCAAATCAACCGAGAAAATCTTCATAAAATAAAAAAGAAAAAATTAATTAAAACTCTAGCCTGATTTGATTAATTCCTATTATTTGAATTTCCATTTTCCTTCATTTTCAAATTTTAAATATCTACGCTGAAAATAATGCACTAATATGGAGAATGAGCTCGGTCGGTTGTTACATGGAAACTTGATCACGAGCTCCATCTACAACTTTGAGAATATCGGCCAAGTTCGATCGATAAGTATAATTTTTATTTTATTAAAAATTATTTTCAAAACTCACGGCTATCACTAATTTACCATCCAAATTATTTCCAGATAATTGTAGAATAATTTACTAACAGGAATATTTCAGAAATCGACAAACAATATCTTTCGGGTCAAATTATCTAAAAGCAATTCTTCAAATTTATCATCAATAAACATTTAGACAGCCAAAGTCGATATTCCATCCCAGACGAATATATCTAATGTATATTCCAAACTCGGTCCCGGAAGAAAATAGTCAACATTTACTAATTAGTTAAATCGAACTAAATTTATCGAACCGCTCATGTAATAGACTTATCTTCCCTCATTGATTATTTTCCATTCAGCTTAAACTCTTATCGCGATGATTCTTATTCTCTCTCCTTATCGAAGTCAATAAAGATATCTCAGATATCACAAGTGTTTGACTCTGCAATTGACTTCGCGAGCGGAGGAGACGGATGACGTTTATCTTCGAACGCCAGATACGCGTTATATTGTACTTTCTATGTATCGTATGTATATAATACGAAAATTTAATATTTCCCAACAATTCTCCAATTTGATCAATCCCACGCATTTTATAGATCACATAAAATTTCTATCTAATGAGTTAATTAGTCTGCGATATTCCAGTTATCACATAGATCTGTATGTAACAATTAAAATACACTTTTTTACTTCTTATAATAATGTCGACATATCCCGAGCACCCTGCGCGAGTTTCGAGGGTCGCCGGTTCGTTCACCGAATTAGTACAAATTGGCAGCAGGGCAATCGTCGTAAATGCCGACTTCCGCCGATGAAAGTAATTAACTAGTGGTTGTAAGTCGGGTGAGCAGAATTCCAGGAAAAAGCGTGGGCTCGTTAGGAGAAGATCGCAGGAGAGCAGAATCACGTTCTTGTTTCGCGAACGTTAAACTTCAGCGTAGCGTCGTTACACCTCAAAATCAATGAACCACTCACTGTCTAGCGTTCTATGTGCGTACATCGGACCTTGATTCATTGAGACTACGGTCATACTATGTGCATTCATTTTTCCTACTCTTGTAGCACTGAGTTATTCACAGTCATTCATAACGATTGCCCAAAATAATCGTAAGATGTCCGAAAAACAATTTTAGTTTAATAAATTGTTTAATTATTGAAAATTATAAGTAAAATTGTAATTCCAAATATGAACGGTATCTCGTAAAAAGAGCGCTCAAATATTTTTTATTCCTCGATGATTCTAAAAAACAATATAACTTTTATAAATTACGTAACATGTACGAAATATAGCACATAAATTTTGCACTAACTTCGAATACAAACCATAGATTTAAAAAAACGTCTTTGGATATTTTCTTCTCTCTGGTTGCTTTAAAAAGAAGAAACATTTTATTTGAATACATTGTATATTTGGTGCAAAAATGAGGATTAAATTGCTATCGCATATGTAATGGACGATTCCATATACGAACCATCGTTCCAATTCCTGGCAAGGTCTCTCTACCGGCAGGAAGAACAAAAACAGCGCGGGATAATAACTAGAACCCGTGGGCCCGCGTGGGCGCGAATGTATAAAGCTCTTTTCGCTTTCTCCCTCCTGATCCCGTTCGCCTCTTCATTGATTATTTTACTTCGCCACCTACCAACGTATGCCGGCGCATTCTATATTAGCACGTTACTTGTATACAACAAGCTACCATACGCGGACAAGTATTCTTGAATCCTCTAGCGAAAGCCGCTAATTAAACTTCCTCTCTTATTATCTTCGTAAAGAATTACATACACTGTTTTGACACATATAAAATAAAAAAAAGATATTTTCTAATGACAAAGATAATGTTAATGTTAACGTTGCATTCCGCACTTTATAATTAATTGATTATCTTCTTAATTTCAACAATTTCTTCGCTTATTATCTTCCTAAAGAATGGCATACTTCGTTTTAACTAGCATAGAATATAAAGGAAGATATTTTTTAATATAAAATAGAATGGTGATATTATTATCTAATGTCGTATATTATATTTTTATAGCTACATAATTGATTAATCCTCTTCATAATTTCAAAAATATTGTTTGTCATAATACTAAAATATTGAAAATACAACAATTTTCTACGAAATTTCTGTAAAATGTCTTTAGTTAAAAGTATCAATAGCATCATAGATGCCTATAATGGGTAACTATAAAATTTAAGATTCAAATATAAAGATATAAAATTTAAAGATTAATAAAATTAAATTAAATTAAATGAAAAATTCCAAAATATTAAATAGTAACTCTAAATTGTTACGACCCTCGATGGCTCAATAATACTTTAATATTATTTTAGACAGATATTATCTAACTGAAACTGATGGATGATTTTTTGGACCTTGGACGAGTCGATAATTACGTAACCGCTCGGTCGATATTTGAAGATCTGTGTGATCGTATTTCGATATATTGATGCATTTGAACCATACTTATGGAATTCTAAAATCCATTCATTTTCGATATTTTCCACTAATTTGTTGTTGTAAGATTGGCACTTTGTTTAAACATATACATATCCTATATTTTGGTACATTTTGTAATATGCATTTTGTTTAGAAAGTGTATAAACATTAAAAAAGACGCGGAAGATTTTTGAATCTCATTGTTATCGATCGAGTGATGAGAATAGAAGCAATAAATGTCCTTAAATAAGGTATTTGAGTTGACTGATATAGCACTCCCTCTGCTATTTAAGCAATTTTTGAAAATTTAATGCAATAAAGCTGTTCTGAATGCAATTTTAAGATTCAGAGATCTCACTTAGCTGTCGATAAATTAAATTATTTTGTTATTGAATAAAAATGTGATCTTTCAAATTTTACACTTTTCTATAACCCCTGACTAACCAAATACCCTATATTAGGTCGAATACATACCTTATAGTTAAACTGCGGATTTTTATGCGGTTACGCGAAATTTGTAAATGAAAAATGCATAGAATGCACGTAATATATGAAAATATATGAAATATCAAAAATATAGTACACATTCCGTATAATATTTAGTAATTAAAGCAAAAATATGAATTTGCGAGAACTTCTTGGTTGATTTAATTATTGGATAAAATAACGTATTACAATGGCTTTAAATATCGGATAAAAAAAGTAGAGTTTAAAATATTACGCTATTTTTAAAATTCGTATGCAGAGACAATGGGAAATTCTAGATTCACTCTTACCAAACTCCTATGGGTTGAACTCGAGATGAAACCTGAATCAGTCCTTCGTACACCCATAGAACAAATAGAATTGCTCTACCAGTTTCAAATCGTTCGCCACTTAAGCACATTCCACAGAACTCCCGAGAATTCACGCCTCCTTTTACTTTTTCCAAGTATTTCAATCGCAAATTGCATATCGATAACGAACAAAATGACAGATGATTGATTTACGGTAACTAGCGCGCTGTATAGGTTAAAAAACATTTTGAAAAATTGCAAAGAAAAAGAAAGCCTTGATTTGAAATACTTTTGATACTAATAACTTGCTAAGAATGAAAGGCTATAACATAAACGATAATCACTTCAAACATTACTTTGACGGTCAAATTACGAAATTATATTCACTACTACGATTTCAACGACAAATTTACCAACTTTTTCGCACAAAACCGGAACTAGCCCAAGGACCATTTCTTCTCCAAGAAACAGGGAACAGAGGGACGGAAATGACTACTACAAAAAGTAATGTCTTTTCCTTAACATTCAATTTTAGTTGAATCTATTCACTTTTAACATAACTAATACATAAGCATGGAAATTTTAATTTGATGCATTAAAAATACTAGGAAAAATAAAATTGTAGTTGTGAAATCGATTAATTGCATCGGAAACGGAAAGTAAGTGAAAACGGGGGAAAAATTTCTCAGCGCCCCCTTTGTTTAGATTTACGATAGTAAATAATTAACAATTAATCAAATATGTCCATAAGTGAAGAAATATTCTTGAACTATCGAAAAATTAATCTACGACTATCATTGTCCTTAAAAGCAATTAACGAAAAAAAGGAAAAAACGCGGGAGAACAATGTTGATAGAGATGGCCTGATTAGCGCCACCTCTGATTGTATAATTGCATTCTGTTTGACATATCAGTCAATCAATATATATGACATATAATCTATATTATGTGTTTTTCTCTTATAAAACCTTGCTGCCAAATCTTAAGAAAAATTGACGAATAAAAGGCTATGTCTAAGAATCAAGATGAATTATGCGAAAGTGAATTACAAAAAAATTCGGCAAGTATAATTTATTTTTGGTGTTGATTGATCTATATGTGAAAAATACATACAGTGGCTACAAAAAGTGTGTACGGTTACTATGAACCTAACTCAATCCTAATCCAAATATAACCTATACCAAAATAAAAAGTATTAAAAATATTTTTACGAATATTTCGAGAACTAAAGTAAAGCGAATGTTATATGTGAGATGTACCCTAACCGATATAATTGTTTCCCTTTTTTTAATAATCAATATAATCAACAAAGTATTTGTACACTATTCTATTTATTGTAGCATTTACATGGTGATTAATTATGTCTAAATATATTAAATTTGTACTCTTCTATGACTACAGAAATTTCATATTATGACAATGAAATGTAAAACCTTTTATAATCATTGTACTTACCTATATACATGCATCGATACGTTTATGGTACCTTTTACTAACTGTATGTCGTTTATTCGATCCGTAGGCATAAAGAGGGGGGAATGAAGATCCCGCAAGCAGTTTTACAGGCTAGTGAACATGCCAGAACCTCGAATCTTGTGTGGCTGGAGGAATGTGGGCACACCAGTTTCGAGAGTCATTCAGAGAATTGGTCTCCCGTCTACCAATTTCCCTTAGAATGGAAAGCGCGGGAAACCATCTACGTCTCTAACCTATAAATATGCATTGATGATCCATGAAACGTGATCGTTGGCACAATACCATCGATCAATGTTTGCATAACTAATTACAGCAAACATTAAATAAGTTGGACTTGGAGATATTATCGTTATTACTATTATAAAATGCCGACCTCAGATGTTTATATATGTTTAAGCCTTCTTTTCTTTTTTGCTTAGTTACTGAGACAGGATGCGATTATTCATAGTGGAGGCCTGGTTCGTTTACACTGCTATTCCTCTTGTATATTTTGAAAAATCCTCGCAAAGAGTCGGATGGCTATTTTCGTGCGCCCGAGGTTCCATTTTGATTACACTCCATCCACCATTTTGTTCACTTTATTTTGGAGCTTATATTGAAAATTTTGTTTTAGACTCATGATCGAAAAAATCTTCACTGCTATTTTTTTACGTCAGAAAGTTTCTAAGGATTCCAGGTTCTACCGTAATTATTATACAATTCATCTCTAATTTTCCTATTTTATCATGGTGGTTACATAAAAAAATTTTTGTAGACTTATTTGATTGAAAATTGAATCAGTACCTGTCCCAGCTGCGGCAAGGGAACATTTTCCAACGTCGAAGCGACGAAGAAAGCAGCCGGATGCAGGAGAGGCGAGGGACGTCATTATCTTATCTCAAACCATTTCCTGTCAACCTAGGGCCGCTTTTCGTGGTAATCACACGCACACGCCCACGCGGTGGAGTGTACAAGCTTATTTGTGTTCACATATACATATCAGCCAGTGCATGCACTAATGCCCGGCCAAGTGCCAGGGAGTATTGCTTCCGGTGCGTACACTTGCGTCCACCTCGGTGTTGGTGCGTTTGTGCACGTGTATACGCGTTCGACGTTACATCTGGTGAGGCACTGTGAACCCGATAATCGGTTTCCTCCTCCGGTAGCCTGCAGGAACCAGACGCAAATAAACGCCGCGTTATACGACTCACGCCGTGTGGTGGATTCTTAGAAACGGATGTTTCCTTTGAATCTGGCTCTGTAGATCCGAGATATGGTCTCGACAATCGATATACCTTGCTAAGTGGAAACGTTAACCTCTTAGCAGCGGTTTCCTTTGAACAAAATGGTCTAGAAATTCAGAGAAATGGGGACGATATCATTTCACCGAATGACACGTATTTAGCTCCGAAATTCTTAGCGGAAAGATAGGAAAGAATATTAATGGGGATCTAGGTAGTCGTGAGAAAAGAGCATCGTGACAGAGTCAACGAGGCGTACTATAGAATCGTGATTGAGTAATGCGCTGCGACTTCCGACTGCATCACGAAATACGTAATGCCACTGCCATTAAGTATGCACACCTGTTAAGGTCATCAACAGGTATCACTTACGTCATCTTAGCGTACACATTACTGGTGTGACTGCCATAGTGATACCGCATGCACCTTCCCTATTCTCTTTCCCGCCGGCCATCGGTCGATAATCGCTTTAATGAGGATTCGTTCAGCGATGCACCAACTCAAAAAGTCCAGATTCATACCGATCAATAGCTTATTCCCCGATTCAGCTATAAGTTTCTTGAAGGGATACAGCAGAAGTGCTTAAAGTACTTATGTTATGGTTACGGAACAAAAGCTTAGATGTTATATGAGGGCAAAAATTTATGGTCGAGGTATAAAATACTTATGTTGTGGTCATGAAACGAAATCTTAGATTTTGTACAAGGGCAAGTTTATGAGAGGTATAAAGTACTTATGTTGAGGCCATGGAACAATTAGGTTTTATAGGAGGATAAAAATTTATAGCTTTAGGCTTAAGGACAATTTAAAAATATGAATAATTTCGTTTCTCATTACAGTATATGTACATCCAAAATTTGTCTTTATACGCGATGTGAAAACATTAGATAAATTTATAGGAATAATACCTATATATATCTAACAAAGTTTCGTAGTTAACTAGTACCGTCACTTGGCGAATTAATTTATAACTTTGCTATATTTGTTGCAATGAGATAAGGATGTAATAATATAAGGACGGATTTAACATAGTAAACGTTCGTACCCTTTGTCTATTCCAATTTCTGGCTAAATATAGGGTACGACCCACGTCTCACGATTACCATAGCAGACTATTTAATGCAATCTGTATACCTGTGTTCTAATATTAGATACTGAGTCTAATAAAGGTGTTCATATAATAGTTATTTTGTGAAATCTATAAGCACAAGTTAATTCCAACGATAGTATTTATTTTCCGACTACTACTACGGTAGACTTTTAATGCGATCCACAGAACCATATTCTAATATCAAATATTCTAGTTATATAATAAAAAAAGATACTCTTTATCTTCAAAAAGGTCGACTACGTCATTCTAGTAAGATTCATTAGCATCTTGCGTGACGCTTTGAAGCTCGATCGAATATTAATCCATTATACTTGTCGTACACATAGTATAGTCGAAGAGGATTTGTATTCCGCACACGGATATTGAAAAATGTAAATGTAACGAGGAATCGATATACGAGGATCTATGGTAGGTTCTTACGTAAATCTACAGCCGCCATTGATCGAAATGAGCGTGGAGTAGCAAGGACGCCGTAGTACGCTCACCTTATCACGCTCCCACGCAATCGAATCGAAATTCGTCTCGTGGCTCGTCGAAGGCCACCGACACCAACCAGAGAGGCCCTTTTCGTCCTCTGTCTCCCTTTCTCTTTATCTCTATTTCTACCTACTCATTCTTTCTGCAGGCGACGATTCTCTAGGGGTCGCGATAAAATGGCCCTGCGCCGTCCGCGTGATCGAACGTGAAAATCTTCAACGACAGCAGCCCAAATGAATGGAATGCCAACCCACGCCCGAGAGCCGCCTGATAGGCTGCCCGATCCGAGGTGAGGCTTCACGTACAGTATGACAGAGCTCAGGGGCGTAATCTTTTTAGGAGCACTGTTATCAAAGAAATCGGCTTGAACGTCTTGCTTGTACTTATATACTAGTATAATATAATAAACTGATTGGAAAATAACGGATTTCTAAATGTAAGCTCTAAAAATCCATTAGGAATTATATTGTATTTTATTTTTAGCTTTTCCTCAAAGAAATTTTACATTTTCAGTTACTCTACTTTTGTATTATTCTGCATAATTCAAGGTTGAAGAACTGGAGATTCCCGAAAATGGTGGATAGAAAGCTATATGGGAATTTTACTTATGTTCAGAAATCCTAAGAAGATTGAAAATTTTTAAATTCTATATCAATTCTAAGACACGGATGAAGTTATAACAAATTATTCATTCAATGCTCTGAAGCCTGCAAAAATCTGATTAGAAAGGAGCCGTACTTTATCTTTACCTAAAATTTTTCATTCATGTTTCGAGTTTCAAACTCGACCTACTTTTCTATTTTCCAGATCTCAAGATCTTTGGCAAGACTTGTCTAATTAGTATTCTTATCTTTTAGATAATATCGAAGATATAAAACAATGCATAAAGGTATCCAGTGAATTAGGAAAAAAAATAAGATTCGTCAAATTCTACAGGGTGACGAGTCATATGACGCCGGTCCTGGCCGCAACACGTGCACGCGAGTGTGCGT